GCATTCATTATTGCTCGACAGTATCTATGATATTCTGAATCTAGAGGTTCTGCTGAATCGATTGGTGAAAAGAAATTGGTGTTTTATTAGGCAAACTTGAGAGTAAGGTATCTTAAAGATTGTAACCTCTATAGAGCGATTGTAACGTGCGGAGATATTGATCTATACTGATGGAATGTATATGAATAAGCGTTTATGCGCTCGTTATTGATATCGCCTTATGAAAATAGTCATAACTGCTGGAGAAAGCGGAATTGATCAACAAACTGTATGTTTTTCTGAATGTAGAGGTTCCGTTGGATCGAATGTTGTTCAGAAATTCATATGTTATTGGGCGGATCTGAGTGTACGGTAGAGTCGATGATTGAATGGTGCATAAAGATAATATGTTATGCAATGGTGTGCACAAAATAATGTGTTACTGGGCAAAGCTGAGATACCGCTTTGTTAGGCAGAGTGACATTAGGCTGAATATGGTGATCCTAATAACACTAGTTTTTCGTACGTTTTGATCGCTGATATCATGTTCAGGTTATGTCAGATTTTATTCTTTTCACTGCTGTAATATTTATTAGTGTCAGTTTTATAGATTAATTCTGGTATTTTTTGGAACGAGTTTGTTGCCAACTTCATAATCAATATCAGCGTGATTGTCAACTTCATAATTTCATCTTTATATCGGGAAGGTGAGTGTTGCCAATATTATTCCTGTCATGTCACCTACATGTTCGCTATCGTCACTAGCATGAAATGCCTTTATATTTGGCTTGTAGGCTACCACTTGTCGTTTTCTTATATTTTTGCTCTCATGGGACACAAATTTGACTATTACTGATGTAGCCTTTCATGGAAATCACAGTTTGATGTTCCCGATCGTAACTGCAGTCATCACATACGTCATACTTCACCGTCAGTCTTTTCAGTATAGAGACTGAGAATCGCTGACACCGATCATGTACTCATTTTTGCAGGACTTTTAATGCATGACTGCAACGATGTTGATAACAGTGACGGCAATCTTTGAGCGGAAAACAAAGTTTATTGAAGTGTGAAATAAAGACAATAACTGTATTGTATTATGTTGTCGTCACAGTATTCAAAATAAAACACCAGCGAACTCTCACAAACAATTTCAGAGTAAAACTTCTACACTCCGATAACCAAAATAAAAACAACCACAGGAGAGAAAGTGATAAAAGGTATAACGATACTGGTAGTGTTTACTGACCATTAAAACCATGAAATAAAATCAAAAACAGACGATGAACTCAACGCAGTTGATGAAACCAGAATTCAGTTTGTTTACAAAATGTACATTTAGGGCCTTACACTGCAAACAATCCTCCCCAGAAATATTACCAACAGATACCTCCACATCAGATTTTTTTGTTTCCGATAACAGCCTTCCACGGAATGAGCTAAACATTCGCATAATTAATGAAATTCACACGCTCTTTCCCCAATAAAACAATATCTACATTGTGTTCATACAATTAGAGTGCATTCGTTTCATTCTTCTCATCAAATTAAATTAATCAACCCAATGAATGCTTTCAATCAAAAAGATTTGCCAATATAATTTTCGCGTATAAGATCTGATTTCATTTCAACTTTCAAACGAACAACACAAATAAATAATCAAACAAATCAAATTTTCAAACTACAAAGGGAATGATCATCATTAATTCACTCGTCCATTTGAATTCAGTAAAATAATCAATCTCGTTTTGGTCGTAACAGCGCTATTCTTGCGCCAATTCGAACACATATAAAGAAGAACGCAAAAAACGGCAAAACCAATAGCAAAAGAACCTGTAAATGCATTTCATTTCATTTCTTACTACTCCATAAGATCACATACACTCAACTAATAAAATATGAAACAAAAACATCAACATATCATTATACTGAATCACTACGCTATCTCAATTCATCCGTAAAATTCGCTTATTCGCGATCGAGTATCTACATTAGAGTTTCTGGATGCAGGTCATTTGGGCCCGGGTCTGTCATGCAACCCCGTTCTAAACATGTGGATAAATGAATTCACGGTTCGGAGGATAGCACCAAAAAGTTCGACTGTTGTCATAAAAATTCAGAGAACATCTGTAGACATGCAAAATAAACATCAAAATAGTCATTTAGAAATGAAAAAAACACGGGAACATTGATTGATTCAGAAATTTTAAATACTGAAAATAAGATGAAATTTATAGTTCGATTAACTACTAACCGGTGTTTCTAGGTCGTCTCTAGTCTGTAGTGATGATGAGAGCTGATTGCTGTCGTCAGCCGTCTTATCAACACTTTGACACGAAGTACCAGGAATGGAATTCGGGTCGTGAGTTGCCGGAGATGTTACTTGTTCGGTTTTAATTTCACCTCCATCTCTTCCTAGCTGAGCCAATTGAGCTGAATAAACGCTGATAAAGTAATGATACTTTTCGAAAACGCATTAAACATCTCATATTTAACTGCAACCGATAACCTACCGAAAGCAAGCGCACTCACTCTCCATTCATATTCAGTGAATCATATCTTATCTTTTCCCATACAGAACGATTGCTGAACCAAATTAATGAAATAATAAAATACAAACCTTTCAATGTTGCATTTTCGTCAACCAGATTGTTGAGTTTACTACGAAGTGTTTGAATCTCACCTAAAAATTTTCGTTTGCTCAACTTTGAAAAGAACATGATTCAGAGTAATAATACTCATACGAGTATCCATAATTCATAGTACAATTACAATTGCACACTAACATCGGGAATAAATATTGCAATTGAATTGATAGGTATGACTTAAGCTACAACTGAGGGTAAGTATTGATAGGCATTTACTAAATAATGAGGAAAATGGATGGATGGATGGACGGATGAAGGGATTGATTGGTCTTCAACAAAAAAGTTCGAGAAAGAACGAATGGAATAAGTAGTAACTATTGAACAATGGATGTTCACTGTCAGCTGTATCAGACTGTTGATCTGTTGAAGTCTTAACAACTTCTTCTTTGAACTCGCCTTCGTGTTCTTCAGTTGTTGTTACAGCATTTTCCTGAACAATAAAACAAACCACTTATGAAAGCAGTTTACCATTATCATTCTTTTTTATTACCATTACTATCATTATTTTCACTCCAGTTCAAAACTGCCTCGAAAATTCGAACGGTATTCTTCATCATCAGACTTTCATGCAAGGTTTTGAAGGAAATAAACTTACTGAAACCACAACTAAAATGCAGCCATTTCACATCTGCCTGACGGATTATGGATTGTTGGTTTAATTGTCATATATTACTTACAAACAATTCAATTCATCTGATATTGAAATGAATAAAATTACGCAAAACAAATATTCACCTGAGATGCTAACTGTTGCTGTTGTTGTTGTTGTTTAATTTCCATCGATTTAATTTGTCTTTGTAATAAAGAAATAGCTTCATTTAGATTATTATTCATCGATAGTGCATTCTCCAGCTCATGTTCTAGATCTTCTGCTTTATTTCTGATCAGTGCTGCTTCCTCTTCTTAAAACATTCCATTATCAAGAACACCGTCTCACTGTTATAATTTTCAGCAACTCCACTTTATATTCATCAAACAAGAATTAATTCGTTATTCACACGACGACGAGCCAAAAGGTTGAAACGAGAAACGTGTTCTTGGAACTATTCAATTGAAAGAAATGAAGATGTTTTCAAAATCATACGGCGAAATCCTATGCTTTCTTTAGCCGAGATATTTTAACAATTGAATTTCACGATAATAACAACGACAGCGACGATAGTATCAATTATAAAATCAACAATATGAATAGAACTAAATGAGATGAAATTTACCCGTATTAATAAGACTACGCTCAACATCAGCCAAACGTTGCAATGCTTCATTCTTTTCTTCAATTGACCTCCTCAGTGAATCTTTGGCCAACAATTCGAATTTATTCTTGTCATTCAACAACTGATTCATATCTTCTTTGATTTTATCATTCGATATATTCTTCGAATAGAGTGCCAATTGACTTTCTAACATTTCAATACGTGACAACAAACGATCTTCATTTATTAGAGCCTTAATTCAATATCAAACTCATATAATATCATTTAACAATTTGTCATATTCCTCATGAAAAATTCAACTCAACATCACTTGATGGTTGTTGTGTAGCGATGAGAAGAGCGCTGGTTTGTGATCAAGGAGGAAGAGGCTTGAATTACTCTGAGACTCACGATCCTAGTCGAGAGATTCATAAAACAAAGACTGATTTTGAGTAAAAGTAAAAGTAATTTCACGCTCACATAATTCAATTGAAAAAATGTAATTACGCATTGACAGTGAATGAAATTAATGTAAATACGAGAAATGAACCTGCCAACTAGATTGAGTAGCCTCTTGAGTCGAAGAGAGAATATTTTCGAGGACCTCAAGTTTTTGTTGAAGCATATGTTCACGATGTGATGCTTCACGAATATACTGGTGTAATTGAAACATCTGATAGGAATTAATTAATGGTATTGATGGTACGGATGTGATCACACTACCGAACTGTCCATGATCTTTGATTGATAACGAAGATGAGGATGAGGTCGACATCAGATTGGTACTCATCTCGGGTGCACACACTTCTTCGCCTTTTATGTCAAACAATCGTACCATTGCCACTATGCATCCATGAATCACTTAAATGCTCATTTTTATCATTATCATCCTTTATGTCATCATCAATGACCAATTACCTTTGTTAGCACTTTCGATAATATCAACACCGAATTGAAGAATATCACCCGAAAATATCTGTCGAGGAGAGCTTTCCTCAGCACTCTTCGATAATCGTTCATTGTTCACGAAAGTTCCATTACTGCTTTTGGTGTCTTTCAAAAAGAACGCCCCTTCCTCGTACCACAAAATTGCATGGTTCCGCGATAACACCTGATTTTAATATAATACAACATTTATTCATTCTCAAATCTCACATTAAACAATTCTTCGAATTGTCACCAATTGAAATAAATTTCGTGAGTGAATAACGATTGATGTAGCAATATAAATGATAGAAGTATCAGTCAATAAATATTTGGGTGTGCTGATCAGTTGAAAATTTTTTCCACTTAAACACTCTTCTAGACATTCAGAGTCATAATCGTGAAACAATACAAAACGAATGCATATGAATCGAGTGAATGAACAAACGAATTAAGGTAAGATTTACTTTACAATCGAAGATGGCATTATCGTTATTCGGCTTGAAACGGGCCATCGAACGACCAATTTTGAGAGCATCTTCTTCACAACAAGGTACGGTGAATCGACGTTCTTCGAATGCATGTGATTGGGAGCATGNTGTTAGGATTGCGTACGGACATTTCGTTGTTGGGGTTGCTGCTGATGAGCTTGTTGCTGACATTGAACACACTCAACTTAATAATTACCCATTTTCAGTCATTTATTGTCAAATACCTTTTCAGTTTCTCGTAACAGTACGTTCACCGTTATGTGCAGTATTATTCCTTCCTACTCAAATTTACTAATTTGATTTCATACTACTCAAATTTACTGACTTCATACTCAGTCCAAAAAATCGCTATCTACGATTAACTTTAATAATAGATTGACGAAAACGCTACTTCAGGCAACGGCAAAGGTGGATTAAAAGTGGAAATCCCAGAGATAAAATAACCGAATATCTGATGATCATACTGGATGATTTGGATACTCCAAGATCCCATCAAAACATCGACTTGTTCATCAACTTTTCAATAATTCGCCCCTTTTTTCCATTTTCATAAGTCTAATTCACAAATTTGACCGACCGAAATTCTGTTTGGACCGAAAAGCCAAGCTCACACTGAACACTGTGAAACGAACGGCACGAGATTGGGTAAAAGTCTCATCTTAAGAACGCGTCTGAGTGAGATGCAACGTTTAAACACAACCACGTTGAAAACAACTGCATCAAAAATTAAAGCGACTATGATCACATCAATTAACATTTTTCTTTTTGATCAAAATAATAGGCACTCAATAAAAATTCCGTTGTTCACAATGATTATAAGATGAACGCGATTGTATTACGGAAACGTTTTTGCTCGGCGAAACGAACACGAAAGTATAACGAATCAATAGTGCATGCTCAAGACACGTAAATGTAAAGTTGATCGAATCAATTAATTGCACACCCACAAAAAGCCCTCGACAGCACACTTATCATACTCCACCTTATCAGTGTTTCCTATTGTTGCAAAATTTCTGCTCTGCTTACTTTCTGTACTCTGCTATGGCGAAGCGCCTAATCGCACTTCCCCTCACGCTGTGTACGCATTTCGCCAAATGAATGGGTCGGTGCCGAATCGCGACCACATCTCGCAAAAAGCAATTTCCCAGTTTCAGCTGGTTTCCCTCATTCGCATTCCGAGCGAAGCAATTTTTCGTTTGGTGGTCACTTTCTTCCGAATAATGTTCAGTCGTTGTACCAGTCATCTTATGTCCTTACGCATACGTAATCTGACTCCGTAATTCAAAAGTTTTACTCTCTTACAGTTAACTGTTCCTCGGTTCCTTTATGCTGTTCCTATGTGAAATAATATGTCGGACCAACATAAAACTGCGAAAATTTTATTCATTCACAGTTAATGGCATAACATCAAAGAAACATCTCTATAATATGTGTTAATAACCAAATGCTAAATCAAATTCATCAGAAGGTAACTGCCAATCGAAAATAAATCCAGTCGCATAACGCTAGCGTATTCGTTAACAAATACAAAAATTTGTTCAAAAAAGTACAAAATTTGTTGCAGAATATAATCTAACACAAAATTATTCACTACAAATCACCTTAAGAAATGAGGAAAACGAAGAGGCGAAACACGTAAAAATAACTTGAAGCAATTGTCAGGTGCGCAAATGACAAATCAGAAATACGTTCGTAACTCAACATACAATAAACTGATTGTGAATATGAGCAGATGAACGGATGAGAAGAAGAAAAAATAATACTATCCACATACTAACACACATAATCATGTGAATGATGAAACAATGAATGATGATTAATCAAAGCGTGATTAATAAATTGAGACCTACAAGATGATGAGAAACGATTTGTAGGAGAAAATCAAATGATCAGACATCGATGTAACTTTTCAAAAGAAAAAAAAGCAATCGAATAATCAGAGCGGTTGCAAAGTGAGGAGATAGATGAAATCAGCAGATTTGAGTGAGAAACATTGATCGGTAACCGTTAAATGAATAACAATAATTCAAAAGATCATCTTGATTGTGAATAATTTTTGAGAATGCAGAGTCAAAATAAACAATCATATCGAATCCGTTTCGAATAACTATTCAGTTGGATAAATTCATTTTTTCTCATTCACAAATTTCTATGACACGCAATAAATTTAAATGTCATAACCGACTGCCCGTATCGATAGTTGTTTCACACAGCAATTTTGATGTAGACACGAGCAGTTTACCTATTCTCACATAAAATTATTTTTTAAATGAATTCCAACATCCGATTGAAGACTACTTGAAAAATTTAGAAAGACTATCGTTTTCTACAATTTTTGTGTGAATGTACAATTTATAACAGCAACGGAACAAGAATGAAATGAAAACACACAATAAAAATGAGTTGAAATAACGATTCGTAATATTAAAATATAACAATACAATAGTTCTACTGAGGCCAATGTAACCTTTCGACTTTAAAAATCACTAAATCTAAATCTAATTCTATCCAACTACATTAAATAATGTTGTCGTATATACAAACATCGTTATCAACATCATTGTCACTGTTGCAATCATAATTAGCTATTTTATTCTCCCTTGCTAACATTGTCATCGAATGATATTTAAGACAATTTTACAAATAACACCAACACAGCACCTCGCTTAACTAAGATTTGAAGAAATCAGTACACAATACTGATTGTTACACAATTAAGCTTACGCAACGCTTCAAGCATCAATAACAATAATAATAATAATAGCGACAAAAACAGCTGTCCTGCTTCATTATCCAAACTAACTCGAATTATTTTATAATGTCACTAAATACGATAGTGTGATTGCATTTGAGAATCATCCAGTAATAACCAATTTATATTTCACTACCAAATTTGTGTTTCACGAATCTCGCCAATAATTTGACTCGCTTTATTTAATGCCTAGAAATGATTTTTAATAATTTGTATTGATATTATTACCACTGTAAGTCAAAATGTATGAGGAATGCACATAAATTATTGCCGACAATGAATATTTGTTTTCTTATATAAAAAGCACGATTGCATTACCGAAACATAACGATATAAGATCAATCAGTAGTGACGAAAACAACGAAGTGCAAACAAACATCAAGCATCTCAGCTGTCTCCTTACGTCGTTGCGCCATAGTCGGATTTTCAGCCAGTAATTCGTGGATCATATCGCTTTGATACAATTGCCTCACCAGTTCACTTTGCAAGTTATCCTTAATATCATTAATTTATCATCCCTTTCATTAATTCAATTCAGAATGAATCGATAGAATGCACTCACTCTGACGTAGTTCACAAGAAAGCACATAATTGCTTTGGGCACTGCATCTTGCACGTTCTTACGTACAATCAAATAATAACACCGAATTAAACGTTCTGCAATTATGAAATTCAAATAGGTTTGTAATTAAATATATGGCCAAATACAATAGCATGGCAGACGCAATCATAAGAGATGAAGTAAACATGAATATGACACGATCGATATACCGATAATTTGACAGTCTCTCTGTTCTCGAGGCGTAAGTTTACGTGTAATTGTTTTTTCTGGAACCTCCGGAAGGAAATTCACCGATTTGCGAGGTGTGGATGCTGAAATAGAAGAATTCTGAATCGAATCATTTATCAAACAGAATTATTACACACAACCAGAAAAAAGTTCCCAATCAATGATGATAATTTAGAATGACATTTTATCATTAATAGCGATTATTACGCACTCCTGCATCTTAAAATATTTTACATAAATTATTTTCTAAATCTCCCGAAACAGAAAGAATCACAGCACAACTCGAGATGATAATCAACTAATCAAATCGACAATCAACAATAAAATCAATTAACGAACGAGACTGTTTAGCGCTAGCACTACTGGTGCTACTTCGAAATATCCATCCACTTAAACCGGTACCCTCACTTGAACTCTGAAACCAATCATTAAATTATTCAAAGATTTGTATCTGACTGTCACATTTGTTATATCAGATTTATTCGAATCATATTTGTTAAAAAAAANAAAAAAAACCTTAGTGAACATTGAACAAACAACAACAATGATGATAATCACTCAAGTAACGAAGGAATACAACCACACCTGTGTCATAGCAGCATCACCGCTGGCTGCGTTGGACATTGCCGTTGGCGGTAATCCACCCGAAGCACTCTTAAATCAATCATAACATTAAATGCACATATGACTGAGCAAAAGCAAATGAATGAATAATAAGACGCAACGAACCGCATCACCGGCATTTGATGGTGGAGCAACAGTGCCGTTCGTCAAAGCATTCACAACGTTCTTGCGGGCTCTTTTCGATTCCTCGTCGAACAATATCTGCTCCTTTAAGGAAACCACACAAATAGTCCATTTGCAAATAGACATTGAATGAAGTTGATAGTGATGACAAAAATGTTGAAATGTTGAAACAAACCTTCAGTAGACTGACTAGAGATGCATCCGTAAATTCTGGATGTTTTGTATTGATATAAGCCAATTCAATCGCAACTAAATTCTCGACAATTTGATTCGTTGGACCCAATCGACTCTTCAGAACATTACTGACAACTTCGTTGATTTTGTCGTACAATCGCGGGAATCGTTGCATTTCTTGCTGTAATGCTCCACCATTACAACACTTCCATTTTATAACCATTCACAAAACAATAACAATAATAACGAAACAATAAACTAAGTAAAACAAACTTGGGTGTGTAGTCCACAGTGTTGTACGATTCGCTGCAATTCCTCGTGCACAAGCTCAACACAACGCAAACTCGGCTCTTCCAATCTTCTGATTTGCCTCTTCACCAATAATTCAAAACTGGTTTCTGGTACGAATAATGTTGGTCTCGGACCCTTAACGCTCATTTTCACATTGATTATCGCAGTTCTGTACATTACTCTTATCAATCAACCATTACAAAAGAATCACGTAAAGAATTGCCCCATGATAAATTCACACACCACAAACGAACTCATTCCTTAACCAAAACGAAAAACCCCAATAAATGTTACTCTACACCACCTAAACACACGCAATCAACATTTCATTCAATCAATAGTTCACAGTGAAATCTAACTTTAACCGATAAATTCATGGTAATATTAATTTATTGACGAATTTCGTAATCAATGAAATTCAACTGAAAATACCGTTGCATTTCGAATAGCCGTTAGAATATCCAGTTGCGAAAGGTCACCTAATGGATCAATTGACTCAAGAACACGTCCAAATGTCTCATGAAATATATAGCATATACGAGCACCACCACACCTATTATTATTATTATTATTATTATTATTATTATCATTCTTACCAGTAACATTCCATCCTTACAATTGCATAATTACATATCACCATCTAAGGATAACAGTCAGAAATAGTTGATGGAAATGTAGTGGATATTTTCAAAAACTGAACAAAACAGCTGCTAGTCAAATCAAACGAAACCCAATCGAACATGACAAAATAAGATCAAATCCACTAAAGTAAAAAAGAAACCAACAATTCAGAAGTTTCAATATTCTTCGAAGTTCCATCAATAGTGTCCGTGTAAGCAGTCGCGAATCGATTGATAATTTGCAGAAGAGTTCTGCTATGATCTTGAACTGGTTCACCGTACGAAGATAATAAGGCTTGGCATTGATTCATCATAACATTCACTCGTACTTTCAATTGTGGTAGACATTCACGTATGTGATGCATCAACAGCTTCAATTTCAATTTCGTTAAAACAACTGCAACTAGCGAAACGAAGAACACGACGATAGGTGGAAGTGCGAAAGGGAGGATGAAGAAAGCGCCCGCTTCTTTTATTTGCCCAACTTGATGACTGAATTCCTGACCCCAAAGTTTCAAAAATGATGCATTCAAATAATTTTCAGCATCGTAAATCAATCACCCAATTAGTCACACAATCCGTTCAATTCGTCATTTTTCAAAGTAAACAAATTCAAGATGTAACGCTTAACTCGATATGACTTCAACTTGCAAAAGATGACAATGTGCATCCAATGCTGATTGCTATCGTACAAACTAAATAACCAATGAGTAAATGAATAATGAACTGTAAATCCCTAACCCGATTGAGAGTTTTAGCCAGGTACGGTATACCGTTGCGTGCAGCAAGCATCGGATATTTTCGCTGCAGAAAAGATTGCTCATCTCTCAAGCATTCTGATATATTCTTCTTTTTATTGATATCTGCTTGCGACCTAAATAAACTGCACCTCTTATTGACTATTCTTCTATTACAAACCATTCTTCAACTAGTAACTTATAACTAATACTACTAGCATATCACAACTTCTCATATTACAATCGATAAATTATTCTTCTTATATTTTATGATACTGGAATGAGATCAACTGTAAACATTCCACGTATTAAATATCACTGACAATAAAATGTTTCAGTTGAACGATATTAAATACAAATCTAATGGAACGATAAATATAAATAAATACGTAATTGTAAGGATGAGCAAAAACAAATTTCAGAAATCAAACAAGCTGACCGATTAACAACACCAATAATACCGAGTTTCACCGGTACCACTCTACCCAAGAGAACCTCCATTGCGTCAGTTCCGTAATCCATCAAATCCAATTTAGTTAGCACAGCTAACGTCCGACATCCTTAATCACTACTACAGTCACAATGTCACTGAATCAAACACAATACTCGTCATCCTTGAACAATTGCTCAAAAACGTAAATATACACCTATATGCACATACCATCTGGATCAACTTCTCGAGCTAATTTCAGAGGTTCTGAAGTGGCGAAATCTTGATTGGCTGGTGTAACAGCCAGAATGATTGAGTTCGGGTTACTGATGAACGACTGGATCATATCTCTTATTTGAATCTGAATTTATTTACTCTATTAAAATATCACACTAAAATACCTTAGATAAGCCATTTCGATAGAACAGTATTAAAAAAATTAAAGTAATGAATATCGCTAAACAAAAATATTCCATTACAGAACGACAGGATAAGCCAAAACTCCCCAGTGATTAATTATCGTATTATCGATGTACCCAAATGTGTGTGACTAATAAACCAAAATGCATCTAATTATGAGACAAAACAAAAAAACAGTATGGAAAAAAAATATTTTACAATGAGCGAACAAACCTCAATATCGGATGGTTGATCACCAACGGGTACTTTCGTCATACCAGGTAAATCGATTAAGGTCAAGTTGACGACATTCGCCGAATATATCTTCAGACTCATCGGTATTGCTGAGATACCCTTCAATTCCTTAGATTAGAAACAAATTATACTAAGTTAAATGACTAACAATCTCCGATGATACGCATAATGTCAGTATATTTAAAGTATATCAGCACACGATCCACTTAACATGTACTATTATCATTACACAACCGGATCATGTATACAGAGCCATGTTCAACAATTTGAACACTTTCGTAAATATATCGGATAATCACTCAAAGAACCTTATTTGTGCCGGTAAGTCGATCTGTTTCAACCTCAATTTCTTTGCGGACATCATCGAAACTTGTAAAAATCTTCGTTTTTGAATGTTCAAATATAGCCCATTCATCACTTTTTATATCGGTACCTAAAATGACAACCACATAAATAGATAATATTAAAAGTGATAATCAAAGTGAGTAACGATAGAAATCATATCAGTCGTTTACAGTTTTACAATGAACATTCTCTGGTGGACAAATCGGACATTTTCTATTCTAATCGGTGAGACTATAACATTAATGAGTGATTGATTGAATTTTGTAGTTTTTAAAGTCAAAATTATCGAGAATGAAAAAAATAAACGCTGATTTGTTGAAAATTTATTGCCTTAACAACTTTTAAACGAGAACATAATAGTTGAGATTATAATCTGTTACCGACTGAATGCCGGAATTTTTATAATAGCTATCAACGCATTACAAGTAAAATGCATATCACCAAACCTTGTAAATTTTTGCGTGTTTCCTTATCATCGAGAGGCACATTGATAAGCTGTAAAATAAGAGGTCGCCTTGTTACTATACCCGTACCTCGTGGTAAAAAATCACGACCAACTATACCTTCGATCACTGAACTCTTTCCAGCACTCTGCAATTTGTATTTTTTGAATTCAACTTATGGTATATTGGTGTGCTTTTTGATAATTACATCGACAGATTTTTGATCTGCATTTATTACGTTATCACAGCAAACAGTCAATTCATTTACATACCTTGTTAACTGGTTCTTGCTATAAAACGATTGAATTAAAATATAATGTTTAAGAAAACCTGAGATCCAACAACCACAATTTGAGGTAACTGTATTTCAGCTTCTCGTGTTCCAATTGCCGCGAATACATCTTGCAGTTTATTGACGACTGGTATAAGCGATTCCATTTATGAACGAACTGACCAAATGGCACACAAACAGCAACAATAGTGATTACAATGTAAAATGCAACGCCAGTTCTCAAATAAACATTCAGCACTTTTTTGGTTAATTAAATAATTCATTCGATAATTTGAATGAAATCATCAAAATGCACTCTTTTCTCGGCGGCGTAAAAACTGTTTCGGCACAGTGAAGGGTTCACAATGAAAATTTTTCGTTATAAATTTGCTTGAAAAGGTCGTCAACTAAATCTGAACATGAAACAAATTGGAGACTCTTCCCATTGTCAGTTTACAAAGGATGTGTAAATCTCTCTATTTCATATATTCAACGCTCAAAAAATGAACCATAACTATCTAGAAAGAACACAACAAAGATGATTTCAAATCATCGTCGAAACCTTCCGTTGTCTACGTGAACACATTCAACATCTTAACAGCGATTCAATGACATAGTTATTAAACATCCACTTTAAGTGAGACGCTCTCGGATAACTGGTTCCCTGCCGAGTAGTACCTGCTGCTTATTTAACCCCAAACAATTCGTGTCGGTTCCATTTGACATAATTAATTATCAAACTGCTCAACATTCCAACATTACTTCATCGAAATCTTAAACAATCGTTCCATTTCCAAATCTAATTAATATCTCTGAGCAATTATGCTGATCTTATGTTTATAATACGCGCACAAAATGATAATACATTGCCTCAAACCGAAACGAAACGAATTACGGGGGTTCAAATAGCCGGGTACTGCGCTGTAAAGGCACTGTTTGGCGGGGATCTGACATCCTTCACTCTCATAATTGGGTGACCGAGAAATGCATCTACAACGCGTCTAAGTCCGACATGCTATGATGAGTCTCGCGTTATCATAACATTTCGCAGTGCAAATTGTCATACGCATGAAGACACTGTGCCACAGCTCTCTTCGCATATTAACAATTGCTTTATCGAACAACGAGGAGTATTTCAACTGAAATTAATTCAGTTGCAGTAAATAAGCATGCTCGCAGTTAACTGTGATACATGCAACGAGAGGTAAACCAATAATAAACACTAAACAACAACTGGATAGAGTTCGGATTCATATTACGAACATAATCAATTTACTTGATGTGAAAAATAGGTCAATTGCAAATTTACATTCGTTGAAATGAAACCATACTGAAGAGTATTGAACTATTGTACAGTAAAAGTCACATGCATAACAATACCATTTGAAATAAATCCCTACTGGACAGCATTTACCATTAGCTTGCATATGGTGATCCTGACATTAAGTACTTCATTGCTAGAAAGCGATTTGCTCATTAGAGCGATTCGAATGCTTAGAAATTAAAAGTGTTGAGCTCTCAATTGTATCAATCGTGCTTTCACATGCGTTTCGTCTTGGTTCAAGCTGATGATGATACGGATGAACAGTACCATGCAAAAACAATCAAATATCATCACTGAGAATAGGATATGTGCTCATTGTCTAACCTTCAGCAAAGGCAAAAATTCCAAGTCCTGTGTTCCTTTTGATGATACGATTTCAAATAGTTGATCATAGATCAAAACTCTTTACACCGATGTGTTGTCAATACATTGAATTTCGCAATAGGGTTCTGGATGCACTCTGTCAAAAAACGTCAAACGACGTTCCATGCTTACAATGCTTTCAACACGCACGTGTACACCTACGCACGCTCGCATCTGAGGCATGACACTCGAGATTCATGAACCCTCTGCATCCCTATTCTCTCCTATATTCCCATTCTATTTTCTTTCTTACTAGCCATCGCAGTGCTATTTCGACTGATAACGTTATCAAGCACCCCACCCGTCCATCGATTTTTAGCCCATCTAACTCCGCCATGATGGCTTAAATCACTTTCAATTAAGTTACAAACATTATACGACTGTTTCTATCTGATACTCATTTAATTTACGAATTCCATTTTCCATTTTCGATGG